CACCCATGGAATGGACAAAGAGACAGACATAGCTTTGACAGAGACACAACCAAAGAGCAACAGCTTTGTCCACTCACACCCCTTTCCTCTCTCGCACATCACTTAAGCTGAGGCCTAACAGCCAAGCTGCTCTAGCGACAAGGTCTCACTCGTGGAGCAGACTTTGGGCAGCTCCCCTTCCCCAACAACCACAAACTCCTCAGTCCTCACTAGTGTGGGCTATGCCACGATGTTCTGCTGGTATCCTGAGCAAGGAATGCCTTCGGCAAGCATGGTCCCCACGCAGGCCCAGGGATATGCACCCACAGGAGTCTGCCATCTCACCCCTTTCAGAAAGACAATGCCTTGCTATTAGCCCTGTCCCAGTCCAGAACAACAGAGCCTCTCAACCCTTCCTTAACAAGGATCAAGGCCAAACCAATGCCCTGTGACTTCTGTAAGCCACAGATAAGTCCCCCTCCCTACCATGATTCTCTTAAACCTTAGATGAACTCCTACTTCCTTGGATCACCAGGCCTTAGATGCCAAAAGCATCCCTTACCTCCCCAGTCCTAGGCACATCTGGCTCTCCCCTCCATGATGAAGTCCTGTGTAGGACTCCTACACCCACAGTGGCAGCCCTCGTCCCACAGTGACTCCAATTAACCGGGATTCCCCAAACTCAGACTACAGAACGCCCTTGCCCATAAACTCTGGTTAGTGACTCCTGCCTGGTGGCTCCCCGCTCAGCCTATTTGGATCAGGAGCACCAGACACGGCCTCACTGTTTTCTTGGGGTCCTTTTTCCTCTTCTTGTCAGAGGCGTTGAGGTAGGCCTGCTCCCTGGCCCTGTACGAAGGGCCTCGGCTCAGCTCCCTCTCGCTGTACGGGGGCAGGGTGTCCTCCTCTTCCTCCTGCTCGGGCGATGATGCCGACTGCTGCGACTGCTGCTGCGACTTCTCGGCTTTGTAGGTAGAGGGGGGTGACCACGCATAGTACGTTCCCCCTCCTCTCTGGCTGGGCTGCGAGCTCAGCTTCGAGGGAGTTTCGCTACGGTCACCGCTCTCATCGTAGCTCCGGGATTTCCTCTCCAACACGCTGCTGAGGTAGGAGTGATCGTACTTCTGGCTCCCTCCAGGCGTCCGGCTCACCAGCCTGGGCAGGTGCTTCTCCTCGTGGGCCCGTCTCCGGGGTGGGCTGTACGACCAGCCCCGATCCGAGTCTGTCAGCGGCTCCCGGTTCCCTCTGCTGCGCTTGGTGTAGTACTCCTCAATGGAGCCATCCTGGTGGGGCAGCCCTCCACTGCGGCCGCCGTGCGACTCCGAGCGCTCGAAGCGCCGTGTTTCCTGACTGTCTGCCCGCCGCGGCCGCTGGCTGTAGGACTCTGCAAAGGCTGCCAGCTCGTCCATGGAGACAGCCGGCACTCCCACAGAGAAACTCTTACGGGACAACATCTCGGACTTGGATCTCTGCTGGCTGGAGGAGGGAAGAGGTAGTGTTAGAGGGCAGGATTCAGCTGCGCGCATCTCATCAGCTGCCTTCACAGACAATGGAGAGAAACAGGCATTACTGGGGCATGAATCATATGACCTGTTTTCATCATCTTCTGTAGGGAGAGAGGTATCACATCCTCAAAATCCCCACTTCTCTCTGCTGACTGTAAAGGCAGCTTGGTGCGATAGTTCGGACTGCACATGTCTAATGTTACCCCAGATTAACCCCAGAGTGCACCTCCCCTGTCCAGTATGTAGGGCTGGACTTGTTTCTCCTTGGCCCCAAAGCTTGTAGGTGTATGTCCTGCTGGGAAAAACCAAGAGCCCAGCTACACAAGCTCACAGCAGGGCGATTTTGAAGCAGGTTTAAAGAGAGTGAACTAGCAAAATAGTCCAGCACTGAGGGAAGGAAATCCCTGACATTTTGTTTGGCAGACCGGGCTTCTGGTATGTGAGGGAAGGATGTGGTATCTCTTCTAGGCATCTGAATGCCAGTCCTTCAGGCCTGGCATACAGGTCCTGCTGCACTAAAGCACCAGGGTCTGACTCCCAGCCAGCACTAGGAAGTGCTGGAAGGATCAGGTATAAATCTCAAGCAAGCACTTTCGGGAAAGATGGTTTGGTCTCCTATCGATATCACTTTTACATCCCACTGGAATGGGGCTGGTACTTAGCTTTGCGCAGCTGGGTAGGCTCCAGCTGGCTTGGGGGAATCAGATTCATTACGACCTCATCTAGTGACACCTCCAGATTTCATGTTTCTCTCTAACCCTCTGTCCCGCTAAGCAGAACCAGAACAGCAGGAAACTCAGAAGAGCTACCAGTCCATCTGTCCCTTCTCCCTTCTATTTAGCCAGAAATAGCTGCCTCCCAATGCGGTGCTCCTCACCTGTGCCAGAAAGTGTCCCGCTCATCTCTGTAATCAGAGACAGCCTGTGATCTGGACGTGCTGCCCCCACCCACCACTCCAGCCCAGTATTCAGCATCGCCATCCAGGTCCCCGGCAGGAGGCAGAGGTTTCCTTCGGGACTGACGGTAGGGCTGACAGAAGTTCAGGTCGTCTTCATGCAAAGAGCTGAGTTCAGAGATGGTGTTGTTATCTGTAGGGCATGTTACAGAAAATAAATGAGAAAGGTATCACCTGATAACATGCGTGAGAAAGGAGGGGAGGAGAGGACAGGAAGGCTGTGGTGAGCCCAGATGCAGCTTTTTCAGAAGTAAGCTGAGCTGCCCTCTGCTAGAAAGAAATCAAAATGGAATCCCAAGCACTCCTCCAAACCCTTGACCGATCCTGCCCAAGACTCCTGTGGCTCAGTTTGGACATAGAGCTGCTGTAAGACCTACAGATCTTCTAAACTGATAGCTGGCAGTCAGGTGGGATAGTCTAAGGTTATCACACATGGCATCAGATGCCTGTGTTCCAGTTAACATTCCAACCTTCATGTAGAAATCCCTCCTTAGCCCTGCTTCACTAATACATGTAAGCTGAACCACCTCACAAGGTGGGCACCGAGCTTGGCAGAACATCATCACAGCAGTTGTGCCACCTCTTCCTTTCCTGGTATGGAACAGGCTGGCTCTGGATTTGGCCTGACTTGCCCAGCTAAAACAAAACCAACCCCCTCAAAAAAAAGATGAAGAAAAAAGTAAGAGACTGTCTGAATCACTGTCAGTCTGTACCCTGTCAAGCACACTGACATCTGGAGGCCTGACATACCAATCTGGAGAGGTCTTTTTATAGTAAATCTTGTGGGTGTAGAATACAGTGTACTCAGCAGTGACTGTTTTAGAAGTATATATAATTTGTTAGTTATGCCTAATCTGTACAGAGCTTTGATGTAGTGTCATTCCCAAACGCACTTTCATTGATTTGCAGGATCTCACACGTGTTTTAAATGAGCTGCTACCAGTGCCTAATGTGGGTTAGCTCTGCATGAGTCGGATGCTGCTGGGGGAACTGAGCCCCCAGCCTGTTCCTCCAACAAAACAGCTAGAGGACAACAAGCAGCACTGCGAGCCCTCCTCATGCGCACACCTTGTCCCGCCACTGCACCTCTGCCTCCTGATGTGGAAAGATCCTCACTTGGGTTTGTATTCTGACACCAGTTCAGTGCAGCCTCAGCCATTCCTTAGGGAAATAAAGCTTGCAAAAGGCTACTGGGAAACAGTGAGGAGTTCCACACAGAAGTTCTGAGTTTGTACCATGTCCCTGCTCACCACCCTCCCGCTCTCCACCAGCACTTGTCTGACTGCCAAGCCATTCAGTACCAATGTGTGTGCCACCTCTGATCTTATGTTGACCAGTGCCACAAAATCTGATGATCTCCTGGTTTCTCAGATCTTTCTTAGAGTGCCTGCTCCTTCTGCAGGACAACAGCCACTCCAAACTACCTTTCTGGATCCTTCAAACCACACCGTGGTTATTGCAGCCCAGAAAAGATGCTCTTAACAAAATCATCCCTCTCCTCTTTTGTCGTATTGGGATTTACAGTCACCACACTGTAAGGGATACAGAAATTGTGAAGACAATATCCCAGCTATTATCACACCACAGGATGTAGAAGGCATTAAGTACAGACTTGGCTTTGCAGATGTTGATGATCCAAAAGTTTAATTATCCGAGTAGACCATTTTCATGAGCCTCTTGGTATCTCTCACCTTATTTGTTCTAATTAATGATGATTAGGTAAGCAGCAGATCTTTAAAATCAGAACACACCTGTAGATGCCTGCAATCTATACTTCAACTGTCCCAACTACCATATCCTGGACATCATATCCTAGAGGCTGGCCCTAAGGCAAAGCCAGTGAACTTTTGAACTATGAGTATGCAGACTTTTTCAGGTCAGTGAGAAAAACAAATAATCAAACCATGCTTGTTCCTCACATCGTTCTCGCATCGGTCTCCTAGCTGGGTCAAACTGAGCCAGTTCTTTCTCCACATAGTACAGCACCTTCATGGAGTCCCTTTCCTTGTCAGCCTGGATCCTGTACCCTTTGCGCACTGCTAGAGAATAAAGAAAAGCATTAGTGGAAAACACGTTTAAGTCCAAGGAGACTTTCTGACAATATTGCTTCTGTAGTTGAGCTCATGCCTGCAGGCAGGTAGGCTGCGTCTTCCAAAACAGACTGAGTCAGTCTTTGCTTCAGAAGAAATCTGTCTGTAACGTGGGATGTGTAGTTGTGAGCAGCTGCATCGTTTATAAAGTTTGCAGTAACAGCAAAAATGATTTGGAAATGCCCAATCTGTACAACCAAATGCATCAAGTGGTGTCACTGCCACGGAGTGATTCCACCTCCCACAGAGGATGGCAGAAAGAGAAGCACTCATTTCCCCTTCCTCAGCACTCCAGAAAGGATTCGTCACGGTATGGGAGAAGCAGTCCCAGAAGATGAGGCTTCCTCTATGCAGCAGGGGCTGTAAGCTCTCAGTCTGCACGGGAAGCAGGTGGCTGAGCATTTGGGAGCTGTCACTCTGCAGACCACTCCTCCCATCCCTGTGAATTCTGCTCACACAGGTTGAAGAGCATGTGGTAGGAGAAGCTCCAAAGAATACAGAAGGAAACACAGAAAGTCCCACAAAGCACATCACGCTGCTTTGAGATGTATACCAAACCCAATGATGGGGCCAACCAGACCACGGGGTAACTGAAGGTGCCTGCTCTGGGGTTCTTTACACGCTTGGTTTTACAGAAAACGTACGTTTTACACATACATTAAGTACCTGACTCCGGAGATTACTCCGTTTGCAGGGAAGTCTGGGCAGCTTTTTTGGTTTTCCCACATTCCTGTGTGTAGAAAGAAGCTCCGACACACCTAAAGCCACAGCAGCTCTTACTCCAGCAGGCTGGCTCCACGCACACTTTACCTGCTAACCCTATGAACAGCCTGACTATCTCAAGGCAGGCCTATATGACTATAGATAGAACCCCACCTATCAGGACTTTGAAGAAAATAAGGCTTTTATAGCAGATCATTTAAGAAAAGTCTCAGCCTGAGGCTTTCAAGATCGACAGAAACACAGGTCTAAGTACAAAGAAGGACTACAAACCTCAGATTCAGCCTCGTTAGAGAATTGTCTGAGGACAATTCACTTAGCACTACAAAATGGAGCCCATCTGCCTTGCAGAGGGTTAGAATGTCCCCTTGTGTGAATACTGCAGTGTTGCACAAGTGCTTCTTTTGCGGCACAATTTGAATACTTGCACAGTGGCTTTGAACTAACCTGGTTTTTCTGTTTTATCCCACACCCCGATACTTCAAGGTACTAACATATGGGTTTGGTAGTACGTTGCATAGTATGCACTGTGTGGGCTGAACAAGGACTTGGCAGAGGTATTTTTAGACACCTTCTGTCCAAAACTGCTCTGCATATGCCTGTGCACTATTAAATAACCATGCCCTGCTTCGGAAATGGCTGTGCCGTGAAATGCATGGAACGATTCCTGTAATAATCCCACAGATAGCTTCAGGAGGAAATTGCTTTACTGTGGGTTTTGACTGTGCACATGTAAGGTAAGTAACTACAGCCTGAAATACTACCTTGTGCATCTGTATTTGGGAAAGGTATTAGATGTCAAAACATAGTATGGGTCTGTCAGGGTCCTGCTTTCTACGTGCCTCCAGACAGCTTAGCTGACAGCAGTCTGAGTTTTGCTATGTTTTATTATCCCCACGAATATGTGCACAATGACTGCAAATGCACACAGTGATTTACAGAACACAAGGAACCCTGCCTCCGCCTTCCAAAGTGGAAGACCATCACATCTCTTGGGAGTGACGCTGCTGCTATGAAGAGGGGCTGGACTGACTGGCCTCTGAAGTGATGACTCTGGCTGCACTGTGCAAGCAATAGCACCTCACCGTCATTGTTGACCTCTGTCTGGTACCTTGCCAGGAAAGGAGCCTCTCAATACCCTTTCTTCTAATGTGTCTACTAGGAGCTCACCTAAGCTGCCACCTCATTTATACCCAGGCCAGCAAACAAGCATCAGCTGGAAATTACTCTGACCTACTAACAACCTTTTGGGAACTTGAACAGGCAGCTTCCAGACTCTGTCTCCCCAGAGCCACTACTCACACTGAGGCTGTGCCAGGTATCGACTGCGGCAGCATCTATAGCTCCTGGAACTGATGGAGAATTAGCTAAGTTTCATGCTACCTTCATGCTCAACTTGCTATTGCAGTCGTGTATCAAGGGTAAGTAAATTTATTGGTTCATTCTGTAAGCATCTAGAAATTAACTTTGAATTTAAATCTGCAAAGATGACCATGAACAGCTTGTAAGGTGTCTTCCATGACAGATGAAGTGTATTTTGTCTCCATGCTTATTTATTAAGTACTTCTCACAACCGAATGTTCAACTTACTAGATCTCTTTATTATTGCTCTGTGTGAGAACCAAAGGTATTATTGCTTCCTCCTCACACCCTCTTCATCTGTAAATTATCACAACCCTTTAATAAGGTCTGAATATTTTTAGGCCTATCTTAATTATAAGGGAATAAAGATGCAGAGACATTAACCGCTTGTCCAGAACCATTCACTGAAGTCAATGGAATGGAACATTCTTCCCTGTTAGACCATATTTTCTTCTCCTGAACACTTCATAAATTTCTAATGTTTAATTTGTGTTTAACTAGACACTTTCTTTATTCTTCTGTGGGTGGAACCAAGTCAGCCAAAACTGTAAGCTGCTTCCTTCCCCAGAAAGGACAGCACTGCTATTTATTTCAAGTGCGGTTAGGAAGTAAATGATGTCTCATCCTTATATGCTTTCCATATTAAAGGTCTGGAGCCCACCTCTCAGATCAAAAGCTTCTCTGTGTGCATGTTCTAAGGAATCTATGCAAGAGTCTTCAGGTAACCACTGCATTTAAAATAGACAGAGCATACATCCTAGCTTATGTGTTGCCAACACTCTTCTAAAGAAAGATGAAAGTTTTTGGTTCTTTTTTCCCTGTTCAGCCCTAAATTTAGGATAGAGTTCCTAGGCTTCACTGGAGCTTTGTCACATGGGTTTTATGTAATCCTAGACAAATCTTCTAAATATCCCCATGCCTGTGTTTGCTCACTAGATCACCTCAAAGGGGCCATTTGTAAGCACAGAAACTATCTAGGGCAAAGGCTGTCCTTTGTAGCCTGGCAGCCAGCATTACAGAATCATCCAGCCTCTGTCCCCCAGCACTTCTGACCCCATTTCTTTAAACAAACTTGACAGAAAGGTTGAAGTCTCAAAGATGCCAAGGTTCAGATCAGACCTACACTGGCTGTGCAGGGCACACAGAAACCATAATTAGTGCTCTTCCTGAGAAAAGGCCTTTATTATAAACCCAACCATTACCTGCTTTGTTTAGCTGCCTGCCTGGCCAACCAGCAAATAAGCAGCTTGGAAAAGCCACATAATGCTTTCTCTTCTACAGCCTGTAATTAGGGGATATTCTGGCATTGTAAAGGACCTTAAGAAGGGTATCACTCTTCCTTAGCTCCACAGCTCAAGGAACACCTTGAACAATAGGTGCATGATCCAGAAGGGTGTGTCCGTAATATTGCAAAAACTATGAATTAAAAATAAAAAGCTGAAGAAGATCTGATGTCTTGCCAGAACAGGTAAAGCTCTGTAATAATGGTTTTCTTTGCAATACATAGTATTTCCTGTCAAGTCCTGAGCTAAACCATTAAGTCCAGCCAGCTGATGTGGACTGTATCATAAATGCATCTTTCTGTGTAATGGAAACGGGATGCTGAGAGCCATTCCATTTGGTTACCAAACACGTCCAGTTTCTCATTCTGCATTTGTGCTTTGCTAGTAATGTACAGCACAGACAAGACTGGGGCTGTGATCTGACTCTTAAAAAATCCCTGGCGTTCCATGGCCAACCCCACGCTCTACATGCAGTGACATTTTTCACAGGAGAAGAAAAACATAAGCACTGGGCGGCCGTTCATCATCTTCTGACAAAGGTTTTTGAGTTGGATACGTTGTGCTTTGGATCAGTGACTGATTTATTTCCTATTTAAAAATGCTCCATTCCTCAAATCAAAAATCTATTTTGATTTCAGCGGTGGGGAAAAAATGTGACTGTTAAATACTTCTTGCAATTCCAGAAAGGTTCATATACTGTGTATATAATACAATACGTAGGGTTGTTCCAAAAGCTTAATTATTTGATTATGCTACTTGATTTTGTCTTTTCAGAAGCGTCTTATCACACTGCCATGAGCAAATTTAACAAATTTTAATTATTGCAGTGCTTTGAAACCAGGCAATGCGGCTGGACAAACGGCAAACTTACAGTGTCAGTATGGTGACTGCATTGGTGAGAGTCACTTTCTGCTGCAGCATGTTTGAATTTAGACAGCCACTCTGATCCTGAAATGCCAGCATGTGGCTAAACAGCTACCCTGGTTTTCCTTGATGGCAGCTTCCTTTGCAGTGGGAGAAGTGACTCTCACAGAGAAAGTCATCATACTGATACTCTGTGTCTGACATTGATCCACAACTCCTTTCTAGTTAGAAGCCTTTTATCACTCACATTTCATAAATACAAAGGCTGAACAAAAAGTGACCTACTGACTTCTGTAAGACAGGGGAGGGGGTCCAGTCCAAATGCTCTTGGGCAGAAACACTGAGGGAGCGCATCCCTGTGCCCAAAATGCCTTGGAGACAGTAAAACATACTGCAGCAAAATCTGCTGCCAGAGGGCAAGAAGAGTAGGAAGAACAGTTTACCAAAAGAGAGCAGCCTGCAAAGCATTCATCTCAAAGAAGAGAACAGCCACTGCCTCTGCTCCCCTGGAATTACTTTTAGTCCTCCACGAGTAAATGTTTGCAGTAGTAACGGGAGGGATTCCAGTCACAAACTTGAGCCTCCCATTCCCTGCTGACCTAATTGGGCACCCAAAAACTGCCACTGTGCTGATGGCACTAGAAAACTTGGACCATGTGGCCCTAAGGGATGCAAATGTCATTGCGAGAGCCAGGATTAAAATGCAGTTTCTCTGTGTTTCTCCTGTTCATACCACCCTATCAGTGACAATCATTCCTCCCTTTCCCAGCCCCACTCCCGGTAAGAGGACTGGATGTTGTGCCTTGCACTGCAAATTACCATTTTGGCTTCCTCCGCTGGCGTCACTTGGGGCTAAGGGAGGAGGGTGCGACTTATCCATCAACACAGCAGGAGATGGGACACCAGTTACAGGAACACTGGGGATGTAGTATGCACCTGGCATGGAAGAGACTGGAGGAGGGTACCCAGCTTTTGCTGCTTTGCCTGCTACATACACTGAAAAAGAAAAAGAAGAGCAGTCAGCACCACACTGGCCTACCATAGACCCACACAGCATGTGGCCAAAACCTGCATGTCACCAACACCAGTGACAGTCCAGCAGGAGACTACTGGACACATGAAATGTCAAGGACCAATCTGAACCTCTCTAAGCCTCAAAAGGCACTGAGGGGAGTTTAGAAAATGCACATAGCAGGTCAGATGAGCCCTGCAAGATGCCCAGCAACCGAATGAAATTCAGGGTGTTAGAGCTGGCATCACCATTGCCATGATTTAGTGGCAGTTCAGCTTCAAAAACAACTGATGACTCAAGCAGCAGGATGAGGCTCATGAAACTTGACAGATCTGCCTGAGCCTGACCAGAAACCTTGCTGGGTCATCTGGATTTTGCACTGTTGTAGAGGGCAGCTGCTTTGCATTGCTGTGAAGAAACCTCCCAGGATGCTCTTAGCTCTGATCCGCAACATTCACTGACATGACAACAACTCTGGAAGGGGAGCATGACACTTTGGAGAAACAGGCTCAGCTGCCAGGGCAGGGAGGGCTCAGGGAATTACATTTGTAATTAACTTTGAGCGCTCAACCATTAAGCAATAGGTCAGATGCTTCACTCCCTGAGAACTAGTTCTTTAGTCAAGCAAAATGCTCAGGGCAAAGGCAGCAATATTAAGCAGATTCTCCTCCTGTTCTGCCAGGGAGCAGAAGCAGCACAGGAGAAGGTTTGCACCAGGTTTGGAGAGGGTCACTCACGGGCCCGGGGACAGCAGCAGGACTCGGGACAGCAGGGGCAGCGGACGTAACAGCAGCAGCTGTGTGGGCAGCACTGGCACCAGCAGATCCCCACCAGGAGGAAGAACAGGAATGCGCCCAGGATCACCAGGCCCACAAAGACCCACTCTGGAAAACAAAGGGAGAAAGGGAGATACTTACAGGACTGCACATTGCTGTGGAAGGGAACGTCAGCAACATCCTGGCAGGGGAGAGCATAGGGGCAAAACAGACAGGCGAATAACAGAAGTGGACTCCCTGTGGGTCTAGGACTACATCCTCCTCTGTGTCAAAGCAGAAACAGCACACTACAGTAAGAAATGAAGCTACAGAATGGTCCCTTGTTGCAATGTCTCTGGCTGGCTGGGAGACAGGAGCTCTGCTTCCCCAGCACAGAAACCCTTCACCCCACAGCAGACCTGCCCAAATGCTGCACAACATGCCCCATTAGTGTTTGGATCTCATCAAAGCCTCATTCTTCCTTGCCATGTTCATGCCCTGCTTGTGCTTGCTCCCTAACCACATCCTAGTTTTAATGGGACAAACGTTGGTGCAAAGCACGCTATAAATAGGGCAGTAAATGAGCCAGGCCTGCCCCTTCGCAACTGGGCCCACGCAGGCAATTATTCTTTTCAACGTGCCAAACGAACACCCTTTCAGGCGCTGCAGCCAGCCAGCAAACCTAACAACCACGTTTTCTATCCCCTGCTGAAGCCTCTGATGAGGTCTGCCAGGCCCCAAAAGGGAGCAGCCCAAAAACACCCGCCGAGGGAGACCACAGAAGAGCCGGTCCGTGAAAACCAGGATGGGGTTGAATGGGAAGAGGCGGCAGCTCTAGTGGGAGCAGATGAGGCTGCTGGGGCAGCTCCCAGCTCTGCACATGGCCACCCGCTGCACTTGGCAGGACATGGCATACACAGGGCTGTGCCTACTGCCATGCGCAAATTCCCTGGATTAGGGAAATGGGTGATGAACACATCTGGGCGAAGGAACTTCAAGACTCGGAATAAACAAGAGGCCTGGCGTTGGTTAGAATTCATTAGAGAGATGCACCAACCTATCTAGAAGGCAGAGGGCTGGTAGGGAAAACTCCAGGTGTTCCCAGGTTGGAAACCAACCACGGAAAGATGGTGAGAAAGCAAAGAAAGAAGTGGGGGGGGCTGCCTTGAACTGGGGTAGGGTTTATCCCCACTCCAGAGGGAAGAAACCTCTCACCTGCATCGCTAAGCTGAAAAGCCAAGGAATAACGTTCCACTTGGAACAATCAAACCAGATTCCTTTTCTAGTTCTTAGTAAACTGCAAAGCTAATAAGAGCCAATTTTTATTAATCCACAGCATTCAGTTTGAACAGAAGTAAAATTCTTTGCTTTGCTGGAGTTTTCCTTAACAATTTTACAAACAATTCCCCTTTTTTAATGCCATTTTTAATCTAGAACTTAAAATTCCCTTAAAAAAAATGTCAGTCAAAGATCTGGCATTCACAAATCAAAACACTTCAGAAGTGTCAAGTGAAATGTTTTATATTTTTTGAATATTTTATTTCTTTTTTGGCTGAAATAGATGAATTTCATTTAAACTTACAGATAATTTTGGTCCTTATGGAGTAATTTTTTGGGGTGAAATTACTATATATTGAGAAAAGTTCAACTAATGAATAAGGACATGGGTGGAGGGAAGCATTTATGAATGGAGAAGTAAAAGCTGAGAGGAGATTACTGATACAGTTCCTCAAGTGATGGTTCTAGGAGCTATCTTATTTAATATCTTCATGAATGACCCTGACACAGAAAATAAGAATGTATTAATGTATCTTGAGGGTAAGAGGTAGCAAAGCATTGTCATTAAAGATGAAGACTGGGACAGGTTACAGAAAGAGACACCTGTCCTTGGGCCTACAATAAGAAACAGGAAATGCAGCAGTATGTTGAACCTGAAGTTATACAGCAATAATTTCAAGGTCACACGTTCAAAGATTAAGAACAATTTCTGTCCCAAACAGGGCTTTGTTAGTTGAAAACAATTAAAAACCAAGAGAAATTACCCAAATTCTATCATAGGACAATTGTAACCACTTTAGGCAATACAGCCACAGAAACGGCAAATGTACCCCTACACCCAACTGAGAAGGATTTCCAGGAGCATTAAGGAAATACTGTTGCCCTCATACAAGGCCTCCATGTAACCTCATCTGAAGTTACTGGTGTTATACAGCTCTTCATACAAGAAAAGATGAATTCAGGTTGGAGCTGATGCAAAGCAGAGATTTGAGGAGACGAAGTGACTTGATAGCCTGCCTTGCAGCAGGAGAGCTGAAGCTTGCTGTGTTAGTCTGTGAGAAAGAAGGCTGAGAGCAGATGTAGCTGATGCCTGCTAATATGCTAGGAGGACGAACACTTGGAGGAAAAGCAGGTATTAAAGGTCTTACATAAATGGGCATAAACAGGCTACGAGTAACGTATGTGGAAGCTACAAGAAGCCCATCAAAGAAGCAATCCAATGTAACAGAGAAAGGCCAAACCCAAACTACCCTTAAGCTTGCTAAGCTCATGGAAAGGATAAATTAAATGACACTTGGGATAGTAATCAAGATAGCGACACAGACCATTCTGTGCTGCACTTCCTAATGTATGCCAATCTGAGCAGGGAAACAGCTCAGTGGCTTTTGTCATGTTCTCATCTTGTTCTCTACCAACCATCACTGAAACAGGGAAGGTGGTGAAACAGTATCGCATGACAGAAGTGACCAGCCACAGCTATGCAATGAAGCTCAGATGTCAGATTTCCAGAGCTGCTAGTGAACAGTTCACAACCACTCCATAAAGGATAAAAGCCTGGCAGAGGACAAACACAAACAGCAAGTCCATTGTAAGTGTAACTGTGATCTCTCTAGGAGTACAAAAGGTCAGGATAGTACGTACACTGTGCACTGCAAGATACTCGCTCAGCACCAGCAGTGGATGTTTGAAATCAAGTGTCCCACTCATAGGGACCTATGAATCAGGAAGGATTTCACTTCACAGGAAATTAGACCATTGGCTTCTCTGGCGAGGTTAAGAAAACAGGAAAAGAGCCTGCTGGGTCCTTCTCCATGCACGAAACTGAGATCCAACCAGCTCCAGATACAACTGTGTAACCCTGAGACTGAGATGATGACCAAGCTGAAATGCTACGTGTCCTCGCTGTTTTGCTGCTGCCTTTTCCTCTTTCTTGTTGTTTATACCCATGAAGTGAGACTACCAGAAAGCTACCTGGCCAACAGACATGAATTTTATACCCGTTCAATAAAATTGTAAATAGTGAAGAAAAAAAAGTGTTAGGCAACAGATAATCAACTTCTGCCTATGCTGAAAAGACCAATCCCTCTCCTGCCATGCTGAAATTCCAGGGAGCTCTGGGTCATACTGGAGGTGGGGAAGTGTCTGCCTTCTCTCCGTTTGGATCTCTGGACAGACTTGAAAATAGCTTCACACATTTATGTGGAGTTGCACTTTTGCACAAACCTGTGAAAGAAACACTCTCTGGGCACTGTCAGGGGATCTGATGACTCAAGGGCTAAATATTCTCACAGCTTTTCCCTTTCAAGAAAGGACAATATTTCCCTTTTAAACACGATCACTGTTTCCTCTGCAAGGAGTGCCAGAACTAGTGGCTTTCATTAGTTTGGCTAGCAAGGGATTTCTCTTGGGCACAAGAGCTTTCATGGCTGGTCCAACCACCTAGTGCTACCTAGATGATGCTCTGGCCATACAGCACAAGAGAGGCTGTGCCACCGATGGGTTGCTCTATTTCTACACCTCCTGTGCCACCATCTGTGGTGATGGCTGTAACAGTGCCTGCAGGATAGGGTCTGGGGAGCAGAAGGTACCACTGCACAGGAGCAGCTGATGTACAAAGCTGTACAGGCACACAAGGCTGCTGAGACCTCACGGGCTGGAGCAGCATTACCCTTGTGCTAGCAGGGGAGAGCAGAGAGCTTGATATAACCTCAACTGCCCTGGCATTTCTGCTCTCACATTGATCCCGGCATGACACCAGCCATCTCTGTATGCTGGATCCCAGCATGGCCATTCCTCCCCCAGGTGCCAGCATCACCTCCCTTAGATCTCAACCCAACACACTTCCCTACTAAGCAATAGGCTTTTATCTTTTTCTCTCCAGATAAAACACACGTAAGAGTGAAATGTACACCACACAAAGATGCTGCAGAGGGATAAACAGACGAGATGACAGAGGACTGGGTGATTGAAGGGTGAAATGACTGAATACCTGGCATAATCTCCACAGCAAAACTGGGCAAGAGATCAGCAAGCAGCCCTGTCCTGCCTAGAAAAGACAGAAGGAGGAGAACAAGGAGATAGGTTACTGCAAGAATAACACACTCCCCAGCCCCTGCCTTAGCGCCTCCGGTCCCCTTCCTCATCAGCCCACTTGCACTCTGTTAAACATGCATCCTATCAACCACAGATGTCATCCTGCTTGATGCCTGGTATCTGCCTCTGCACTTCTGCCATTTCTGTGTCCTTGCATTTTATCTTTATCACCAGAGCTGAGGGAAAAGAATCTTGAACAGAGCTTCTCCGATCTAGGCACAAAATGACAAGAAGAGGGAGGTCCCCTTAGCGCGATTACACGGCAACATCTTTCTGGAGTTACATTCTACACATGCAAAAAGCTCCTGGAAATGCACAACAGCCCTCAAACCGAAGGACTGAGTTTACTTTTAAAATGGACTGATGTAGTTTTTGGATGGATGTGAAACATCTTTAACCCAAGGCTCCTGACAAGTCAGCCACATGCATACACCACCTGTGGTGGTGCTCTCCACGCAGGGCTCTGCGACTGCAGAGACACCTCCAGGGAAGGCGTCTTCAAGCATGACTGTGAGTATGTGCTACTGATCTCAAGATGCACGAGCAACCTGGTGAGATTGTGTGATATAAGGCCAACTCTCAAGCTGTCCTGGGTTCAGCTGTAACAGTTATTTTTCTCCTTCCTACTAGCTGGTGCAGTGCTGTGTTTTGGCTTTAGTGCTGCATGGTGCTGATTTACCGGCTGGGCTTAAACCATGCCGCAAGCAAAGCAAACCAACCAGGGAAGGATCCATGTAGAAATTTGTGGAATTGCTTTGCAAAAGGAAAACAAAAAAAAAAGTCTAATTTATAACTGAACACAAACAAAATCCAAGCCCAAAGGCAGCTTGGTGCCTGTTTCTTTTGGCACTGTATGTCTGGGATATGTCTAATATACAGCAAATGTCCTGCACGGTGTTCAGGCGTGTATGGGCAGAACAGCCCTATGTGCAGCTGTATATAGCATCAGGATCATGCTATGTTTTTATAAAGGCATGCAAAAGGTAGGAGAACTGCACTCTTTAAGAGACACACATTACATAACTGAAGCAGCTAAGGGTAAGCCAGTGCAAAAGTGGTCAAGAGCTACCTTTTAACCTCCCCACATGCCCTCCAGGTCCTGCACTAAGCAGCACTCAGACACAATGATGAACTGGATCTCAAGCTCCTTTGCGTCTAGTCTGCCCTTGAATGACCTACTGTCCTTTTTTTCCTCAGTGCTTCAGCAGAGGTTCTGTAGAGATCAAAAATCCACAAGGATGCCCACTGGAGCCATAATAAACATGCTCTGAATGCAGGGAGTGCTCTGCAACTGGTTGCAACTCATCAAAGCTGTCCAGTACTCACAGTAACGCCATCATGATGAGGTGTTCCCGAAGCCTTAGCAAAAGATACAATGGTGATCTTTGAGATAATTGTTCCTCATTTACTACTTTGAAGGAGGACTCTTGCCATCAGTCTACTGCAACATTTTTATCTATATATACAAGGAGTTCCATGACATTCTTTGTAGTCCATTTTCTGGAAAGATCCAGTGTCCAAACTGCTCACAACCAGCTTGTTATGGGAAAATGCTTACTTATGCTTTCTGCCCACAAGATACAGGCACATACAACACACACATGTGGCTTAAGTCTCAGGTGCCACAAGTGGGCTCCAAACACATGCACCAAATGTATGCCTTGTGTCACAGAATCCTAGATTTACATTATATTCCATGCGTATATTAAATATATTCCTTACGTTCCAAGCATGCACAAAAATCCATGCAATTCTTTCACAGGCCTCTGTGTACATGTGAACAATGTACACATGAACCACACTCATGCAGACACAAGGCACACAGCTTGACTCCCATGTGTTGTTATCTCCATACAAACTCACATGCAGCTCTCCTCTGAAGGCAGATGCCAGTGGATAAATAGCTGGAGGTATATAGTTAATTTAGGGCTAGGATTTGTGGTATGAGAGGTGAGGGAGTGACGCCTATAAAGAGCAGAAGCTCTATCTCATGAGTCCAAGTATGTGCCTGCTTTATTTCGAACCTACCCAAAGAGCCTCAATCCCTGCCAGTGCTGGATCTTAGGAACCCCATGTTCAAGGGGGAAGAAGCATCCCCCAAAAATAACAGTGCTTGAGAACGTGGTAACTCATTACAAAGACAACCAAAGTAGCTCCTCTGTAGCACCCAAGAGCAGTCAAGTATTTCCTGGCTTGTGCAGCCTCACTCGGCTCTGTTGAGTATCTGCTTGGGGAATTTGCTCCCCCTGCCCCACCAGCAGGGCTCACACAGCACTGGGGGGCCCAGACCCACTCGCAGGGGATGCACAAAGCCCAGGAGGGCCCATGGCAATAATAAACCCCACCATGGCTCAGCCTGAACTCTGCCGCCTCGACTAGCCCAGCCAACAAGCACAAAGCCTGCCCCCGCGCTGCCGTGCCCGCAGCAGCTTTGAACGCACCCCAGCTCCCCCCCTCCCCACCCTGGCCCGAATTAATTCACTAACCCTTCCCCACACCCTGAGCGGGTGAAGCCAACAGGCTGCACACACCCCGCCACGGCTGCCCTGTGGTTGTTCCAGCAACAGGGGGGTCCCCCACCCCCCACACCCCCCGCCACGGCTGCCCTGTGGTTGTCACAGCAACAGGAGGCTCCCCAACAGTGACACTCATTGAAGGCGACTTTCCTGCTGCTGCTGCCAGCAACAAGTAGAGCAAAAGCACCCAGTCTGCCAGCAGCAGGTGCAGGGACAGGCAGGCTCCGGGGGGGACAAGGGCTGCCACTGCCCTGTGCAAGCCTGACATGGCACACTCCAAAGCCAGGCAGCAGCCAGGGGAGCAGAGCACAGCATGGCACCACGGTGGGTCGCACAGTGCCTGAAGCTGTGGCAGAGGGCAGGGTTTCAGTGAACAAGGCCTCCTCTTGGAGCCATGGCTGAAACGCCTGCAGTGCCCCTGGCCAGCATCCTCCCAGTGGCTCTCTATACTCAGGCTGCTCCCTGCATGGGCATTAAGCTCACCACACTTTTCTTTTGGTGGTTTTATTTTAATTAAGGAAAATTTGAGGTGGAGGGCTGAGGCTGGGCAGCATCTGGTGGGAGAAAACAAGTTAGTAAAACATCCTGCTAAGACACCACCTCACCACACCACCTCTGCACAGCAGCTCTGCCCACCTGAGAAAGAGGACCACAGGCACCCCAAGACATGGCTGTGGACAGGCTGTGCCCCCACCTGCAAGGGCTACATTTCCTCTTTGAGGGCTATCACACCCCCAGGAGGCTGAATAGACGATGGCCCCATTTACCAGAGTTGTCCCAGGCAGCTCTGTCAGCATTAGGGGCTTGTTCTCATTCCTGTATGGATCTAGGACATGCTCCCATCTCTGTTCCTACCATGCTGCAATGGGGCCTTACCCATCTACAGTGGCCTCTGAGTGGGCACCCAAGCACACCCCAGGCCCTGGCAGAGAGAGGGAGCCTGTGAGCCCACAGCCTGGCCTGGCAGAGAGCAGCAGTAGAGGGCTGGAGGAGGAATGGGAAAGGAAAAGCTATGAGGGTGCGGAGTGGCATCAGTAAGTGCAGGGATAAAGAAGGGGCAAGTGAGGACAGGAGGAGGGTGGGTGACAGAGTGAGCAGCAAATAGCAGCAGATCAAGAGAGGACCTGGAGTCAAGCAGACAATTAACAGAAAGTCTGCAGAAAAATAATTAGAGTAAGTGGTGCAGCTGAAAAGAAACGATGGCACGAATAAAGGCGGCGCAGGTGCACTCAGGAACATGGCAATTGGGTAAATACGGGAACATGGAGCACTGGCAATAGCATGAATGTGATAAATACTGGGTAAATACAGGAGTAACTGTTGAATTGTGTTCCCTGTCCAGGGCTGCCTCCGCAGCCATACCAGCAGCACTGGGAACTCAGGAGGCAGCAGCTATAGAGGGAACTATTTCTTCAGTGACGGAAAAATTTGCCAGCTGTGCCACAGCAAGAGGCCCCTGGCACCAGACGTTGCCCTGAGGGGAGGCTGGAAAGCACCGCAGAGGAAGCGTGGCCCTTGTAAATCAGATACTTCTCCAAGGAAGCTGCTGTGAGATTTATTGGGAGAGCGCGGCTCTGCAATGAGTTCCTCTGTGCTCCCCCTGCTTGGAGTAAACTTTATCCTTTCTTCCCATCCTTCTCTTCAATTGGAGGGAGAAACAGCAGCAGCCCTTCTCAGAGATCAAAGTTTTAGCAGGCAACAAAGACCTCCGAGAAGGCTGTTGCCATGGCTACCTTGGTAATGGAGGTCTTTTAATCACGCCAGTCTCCTTTGTGAGCAGCATGTGGCTGTCGCTGGCAAATAAGGAGGAAAAGAGGGGTAAAAAAACCTTGGCAACAAGTAGCACTCCTAAATGGTGTGAAATAAATAACGAGGAGTAGGCCAGGCCAGGACAAGGGGGATTGGGCCCGTATTATAAAGCTGGCAGCACAATGGCCCCGGGCAGGGCAGCAGCGCCCAGCAAGGACAGGATTGCAGTTTGGGGCTGGGAGGACACAAAAGCCTTTCCTGGATTTTTAAGTGGAGGGCTCTCATGCCACTTCTGCTGGCACTACCTGCCCTTGGCGACAAAGGCACAGCTCAAGGGTTGGAGAGCCCTCGGCACGAAGCTGCTTTCAGACACCTTCCTGGCCGAGACCTGTCCCTCTCATCCCCAACACACGGCCAACAGCACTGACGTCCCTGCTGACTGCTGTGACCAAGTACTGGCTCTGATGCTACTGGCAGCTTTTCAGCAAAACAGAACAAAACCCTAAAACCAACCTCTTGTGAGGGAAAATTCTGCCAAGGACTTTTCCGTCTCCAAAACCACATCAACTTTTATCATACAGACTCTCCTTGCACACAAGAGACTCTAAACCTGCCTATTTTTATGCCAGCTATTGAGTCACTTTGCTGAGTAAGAACTGCCTTCTTAGCATTGCACACCATACACACACGTCCCAGTAGAGATTTATCCTCTCTGAAAGCCAACGCATGTCTCTATTAGTACATTAATTACTGTGGAATATGCTCTGTGTGTATGTATCTACATTCTTTCCTACCTATGGGTGTCAGACTTAATAGATTTTGGGTTCAGCCTCCATGGGTATTGGGTGGTAATATAACCTACCAAAGATGTGAGTTTACCAAGGTTAAGTGCTAGCTGACTTCAGAAATTAACGAAAGCCTCAAGTGCTAATTACTGTTATTTAAAGCCTAACAAAGGGAGAAGCTGAAGCTTCTAAAAGATTAATTATCAAATAATATTTCACTAATATATAATTTATGTAGTATTAGCTACCAAATTGGATGGAAAAAACAAGCAGGCAATAGCCATCTAGCAAAGCAAGTGGATCCCAAACCAAAGCATCAAACCAACAACTGGGATGAGCAGATCACTTTCCTGCCTCCTCCACAAATTTGACATGTCCTTGGAAATGAAGCCTCTGTTCCATGAAGCATGTTTAGGCTGTGTAAAATCTCATAATGCCAACCCTGCACAGACCTGTGCATTTCAGGGTAGCCAGCTGTGCCTACCTAACAGTCATCGCCCTGCAGCTGTACCAGCTTGGGAAGGAGCAGTATAGCTGCTTTCACAGGACCCTGCACCTGATCACTACATTCTGGCTCTCAGGAAGGCTCACTGGGTTATGTACAATCCCATGCAATTAAGCTAGCCTGCTCCCTGATGTGAGCTGGGTCACATGAGGCTAGGATGGGGTATTCACTGACCTGTACTTCTGATTCTGAGGTTACTCCAGGCACCCTGCATCCACTGCACTGGTACCCTTGCAGCTCCCTTCAACAAAGGCTGCAACGAAGGACTTTACTGAAGCCCACTGACATTCTCATATAGAAAGCAGCACACAGGGGCTATGAAAACCATTTGATTAATAGCACTGTCTGTGTTACAAGAAGCTGGACACGCAGCTGCTAGCTACTAAGATGGGAATGTAGACTTCCTTGAACGTAGGATCCAGCCTTTTTGATTCAATTGATTTAGTTCTAAGAAATAAAAATGTATAGAGTTGCAGTTGGGTTCACTGGCCCAGCTGTAATGTCAGCAAACGGATCTGCATTTCTAGTAGAACACAGGAGTGCAAAGAGCATCATTTCACTCTTGCTGTGGAATTGCTGAGCTCTGTACTAGTCTAGTTCTGCTGCAGCAGAAGCGGAGCTTGTATCAGTCATGCTAGACCCTGTTAGGAGATTCCAAATACCACCAAAATACAAATATTTTACAAAGGTGTGATAATACCTTTTAGTTTAAATTCTTGCCTTACCCTACAGGAGGCTTACTACCAGCCAACCTCCTTCTGTGCTTCTGAGGCACAGAGGTTACCACCCCTCTTCCCTTGCCTCCACCAATTCCATTAGAGACGGTTAAAATCCCTAAGCAAAACCTACTGAATGGTCTTTTTCAGCAAAGCACATAAGCACATGCTTAACATCAGGTATGCTTTATAAATCCTACCAGCTTTGCTGAGCACAAATGGATATAAATAAATGCTTATATGCTTTTCTGAAATAGGCCTGAAATGAAGACAGCACATGGGGTGCTCTGATGCTACCTAGTGTTGTCCAACTGCTTTGTGTGTCAACACGACACATCCAGGTGACAAAACTCAACAAGCAATCCCATCGTGACCCAGGCAGACTTAAGTGAAGGCTACTTAAGACTGCACTGGAAATCTCTGTGATTGCTTCCTTCAGAAAAAAAGAATACTGTAATTTGCTCATGTTTTAGATTTTGCCTCAAGTTGTGAATCAAGCAGCTTTTGATCAATTTTAACAGTGCACTTCACTGTATAAAAGCAGGATCCTCCACTTCTAGGTAAGCAAATTTCCATTAATTTGTTAATGCTATTGGGTATCTACCATTTTTGCTTCTCAGACCTTCCAAGGTTTTTAATACATGATACTAAACTGCCCTGTCCAGCAGGATCTTTTCTAACCTAAACACACCTTTCAATTTGGCATTAATATGAAACCACTAGAAGGGATACTTTCCTATTTCCTTTTCTGTTCTGATTTTCCTGTTTTCCCCTCTGAAAGCAGGAACCTCTGCTCTATTCAATATTCTAATCTAACCTTAAGTCATGCAGCAGCCCCAAAACAAGCACTGTCAATTATATTTGAAAGACCACTGTCAGAAGAGAACAAACAGCAATGTGGTGTGGTAATCTTAGTGTATCTTGCAGACACTATCCTTCCACTGCTCCAACTGCTTTAACAGGGAGTCTGGGTTCACCCAAAGAGCAGCAAACAGCAAAACATCAAACAAAACCCTTTTACCACATGTGCCTTAGGACTGTGGAATTGCTCCAATCTTCATCTGTACTCCTTGTCTCCCTTCAAGCAGTTGGACGGAATAAAAAGTGTCCGAGAAGATGCCAGAATGTTAAGAAATGGTATTTTCACCACTGGCTGCTTCCTCCATTAGCCATCAACAGGGAAAGGTAAAGGAAAAGAAAAAAAATACGAGCAAAGGGAAAAGGGAAACGGGAAAGATTAAGGTGGGAAGGGGAAGGGAGGGAGGGAGGGAGGAAAGGATGAAACTGGGTAGGTAACCTGGAATCGCTCTGAAAGCTGGAATGTTGCCTCCATACACACTACCCAGGAAAAGAAATACACACAAGCTGCGCCAAGCAGCATGAGGCAGAACAAAGTATGCCCACGACAAGTATGCTTCCATGCTGCTGCCAAACTTGGCAGAGTGCTGCACAAAGCACAGGGGCAGACCCACAGGCTGAACAGAAAAGCAGATGCGGTCAAGGTAACACAGCCTAAGCTACGTGTTTCCTCCCAGTGTAACTACAGCAAACTGGGGCCAGGGACATCATCAAGGAGAGGGGAGGATGTCTTTGTTTTCACCCCCCACAGTCTTCTGTACACACTGAAAAACACATTCTTCCTGTTACCATGGCACTGTTTCATCACTGGTATCTGAGCACAGTTGTAGACACACAGAAGAGGAAGACGCCAAATCCTGTACAGGAAGGTGAAGAAGGGACAAAATTCAGCAGCCATCACCATGCAGCCACAGACAGCTCCTCCAGAGATGCTACGGAACAGATACAACTGCCCCCTGTCAGAGAGGACCTCACCTGAACTAACACAGGTCAGTCTTGGGCCTGTTTTTAGCTAGCATGAGATACACAGTCACACTGTGGATTTAGGCAGGGTTATGTCACTTTTCTGGAGGGATCCATTCTCCAGTTGTCCACAGCGTGACTGACATCTGAAGGAGTGAGGGGTGGTGATGGCACTGTCATAGTCACTCACCCATACAATCTGGTTTATTTTGTGATTACAAGTACAGCTCCAAGCACAAATGCCAATTAAACTCTGACCCTAGCCAGGAAAGCAAGGGCACTTGACAGGCATGTTCTGTAGTATGCCTTTACATATCACCTACACACTATAGACCCAAGCTGTTTCCTTCACAGACGGACAGGATCTGTACACCCAAGAACCATGCAAGCAAATGTTGGTGTCAACAGGTCTTTGGGAAAAACTCATCTTACTCTCCTGGGGCAGTCTAGGGGCAAAGCACTACAGCTGGCTCACAGCAGTGTCAACCCATGTCCCTGAAAGGCCCATTCCACTCTGCTTTTCTGCCCTAGTGGGGATGGGTGCTTTTCTGACCTTTACAGTGAGCTGAACTATGGAAGCTATCACTGAAAGCTAACCCTGCAGACAGGAAAGAAACTGATCCTGCTCACCACACTGCTCAAGGGGGGTTAACAGAAACCGAGCCATGCACACATGTCACAGAGAGGACAGGTCCTTTTAGCGGCAGCACCAGCTTAGACCTGATTAGGGTGGCTGTGAAACTGCACCTCTAATTGAACAAGTATAATTAGGGAGAGACAAAAATCGCCCAAACTGACACACTCAAGCAGATAAACACAGTTCTTCTTGACATCCTCACAGGTCAGCGGAGTGGGCAAAGGAAATGTTAGAAGACTGTAAAAAGCATATAATTTGATATCTTTTGGGTGTCTGTTTTTACAAGAGACTCTGACTCAGGTGTTCACTTTGCTGCAAGTTTATTGTTTTATGCCTTAAGAACAAGGGTTCTGACTTTCCACAGCCCTGCACCTTCTGTAGTCATTTATGCCAGTGTAACGTGTGAGCAATGTGGGTGTAAACATTACTATTCTGGTTTTGTAGCATTTGCCACCCTCTTTGCCTAGGTGTGAATGAGTGCACAGGGTGCAAGGCAATGGTGAAGGTGTAAATCTTACACCCATAATAATATGGTGCACAGATATGTAAAGAGAGCGAGTGCAGAAGGAAAGATACATCCTATGTGCTGAAAAAGCGACCTGGCAAGAAGGCTTACCAAGCACAAGCAGCTCCACCGATTCTTCATTCTTGCCCTCCACATCATCTGGTGTGATAATAAGGCAGTAATAGAGCCCACTGTCTCCCCACATCAACTTCCCAATCTGAAGGTCTGCATCTGAAAGGCAAAAAAAGAAAAGTCAGGCTTTCCTTCCAACACCTATGAGACAAGTGAAGTGTTGAAAGAACCAGGTCCATCTGTGTCCCAAATCCATTTCATTTCCTTACTAAGAAGGGGAATTAACCTTATCCAGAATGTCACAGCAGTCAGGAAAAAACCCAGCAGGCTCTGGACTCTACGGCTGTAAGTGGGAACACAGGTAATGCCACAAAAGACAGCTCACTCTGCAAGTCCCAAGAGCATGAGGGGTAACTAATGTCACTCTCTGTCCTTCCTGTCACCCGAGCTTGGGGTCCAGCACTATTCCTGCCATGCAAGAAGGGCTTAGACAATGTCTCCTCTACAGCACTTCAGTCATCTGCTGAAGAGGTTACACAGAGACAAAGGAAAACATTCCCACTTGCTGAAGCTGATCACATGCTCCGCACATGGAGCCCCTACTTTTGGCACATGGAGCCTCTACTTTTTGCTTGGTGGTCTCCCAAGCCAAGCAGAAGCCTTGTGCTTTTGAGGGACAAGGTTTCCCACACAGCCTTCCAGATCAAATGTCTAAAGGATGCTGCCACCCCACATGTCCACCCAACATGACTTCACCCCATGAAAAACTCTTCCTTTCACACTGCCCAAGGCTGTGTGGGTTTAGGCTCATGATGGGGTAAGCTAGTGAAGTCCAGAGCTGAGCAAACATGAGGTGTAGGGTAATTTTGGTATTTTGAAACTGGTTAAAAATCAGTGGAGTTTGCAAGGAAAAGAAACCTAGTCCACGGAGACAGAGTCTATACCTTTCTTGCTGGTGCCCCTTTGCTAAGTAAAATCTACAAAGAGAGCAATAAGCAGAAGCCAGAAATAAAAACCTTCTATTCATCAAAAGAAAAAGAATACTGTGTGAGGGCTGGAGACCTACATGAAGTCAGATGAAGGGAAGCACCAAAGGAAATGAACTCTGGGTCTAGGGTTGCTTGGCTGAACCCTAAATGTCTGACATCCAGCAGCCTTTTCTAAGGGAGTTAACAATTTTACTGCCAGCCTCCAGTATCCCAAATTACCAAGGCTCCCTTCTAACCCCCACCAAGCATCACTGGGGTAGAAGAGTTACCGTGGACAATGCTGACGTCTCTTTCCTTATAGAAGTCCCCTATAGTGACAGCAGATCCTTGTTTGGAGGCCACAACTCGGACTGTCCTCCTGCTGTCCACACAGTCCAAGTAGGGATCCCAGTCCAGGTTCCTCTTGCTCATGGTTTGTAAACCAGAAGTCGCCATCCCCAAAGCTTCTCCCACTCGGTCCTGGCAGTAAGATTTAAACCTCCACTGCACCACAGCTGGTTGGGTAGAAGAAGTGGAGAAATGGCAGCGAAGCAGAGCAGGCTGAAACAACATGGCCACCTTCTTCTTCTCAGGCACGGTAACCTGCAAGCCTTCCACCTCAGCTAAAAGACAAAAGCACGAGTGTCATATGCCTTGGCATTACTTGAAGAGGAAGCTACTGCATTTTATCATAGCATCATTTTCCCCACGTACATAAAATTAAACTATCCATCTGTTTCAGGTGCTAGGGTGCAATACTCCTCAGTGTACGGAAGCATAGGTGTTGGCAGCAGAAGTTTGCTTTTTGCACAGCCTACAGCCACAGGGAAAAATACAGCACGATGGGGCTAAAGTCTCAAATGTAGTATCCTTATGCTCTGTAGACACCCTAGCACAATGGTGTGATGACTCATGGCTTCTGTGGCAGGTTCACAGATAAGGAAGAGAGATATTTTAGGGATGGCCACACTCTGCTTCTACAGCAGGTCTGCCAAGGGGCCAGATCCTGAGTTCACAGCAATCCCAATGCAGAATAAATCACCCCTCTCACAATTCTGGTGGCATCACACCTCCTCTCTGAAAGTCAGGCAGCACGCAGAGCCTGGCCCAGCCTGTGGTGCGCTGGTGCCCAGTTGGTGGTGCTTGCTCTGCCAAACTCTAGAGGTGCATGAAGGAGTGGATCCAGAATCGCGCAGCTCCTGCCAGGGCTGGCATGTAGCACTGAGAGAAACTGCTCCGTGTGGGAGGTGTGGAGAAAAATGGCCCAAACGCTGAAGTTTTTCACATTCCCAGGGAGGAGATGGATCTCAACACCCAATCTTTATCTACCAGCTGACAGGAGAGCTGCAGCTCAGAGCTGATGTATTAAGGCCTTGGAGAAGACACATGGGACTGCTGCTATAATCCTTGGGTAGGTTAGGGAAAAGCCAAGAGCAATGCCAGCATACAGCCCTCACGAGAGTGAGGTACTTCACCTACCCACAGGGGAACAGAAGAAACCTCCCATGCATGCCCTGCATTGCTTCCCTCCTCTCTGTGCTGCACAGCAAAGACTGAGAGCACTTACACATGCTGGAACACATCCTGACACTTCCCCAAGCAGGGATGTGCAGGCCTGTGGAACAGCCCAGCCCAGGTGCAAGGAGAGAGCATCTAACAAAGAGGAAGTCTGTAACCAGAGGCACTTTCTGCAGCTCAGTGGCAGCAGTGCCCACTAGTGGAGGTTCAGATGAGAAATGGGAACCAGTTTCAGTACTGGAGATGACGATGGCAGCTCCCTACACACAATTACCAAACACCCCAAGGCCCAGAGCACTGCACAGTGAAAAAGGGAACAAGACACATGGAAACATTCAAGAGAATAAAGCAGAAGGTGTTTACACAACATGAAGAGGGACTGATGGACTTAGGGGAAGCTTAGGGACGAATCATAAGACTGAAGACAAAGAAAGGCTTCCTGATGTTGGGAAGCAGTAGCAGAGAAAGACAAAAGCTGAGAAAGAAAAGTAAGTACAAAGTATCAGGTTAAGTATAGGAAGCAGAAGGATAGGCAGGGTGACAATCATGGAATGTCATGTTTAACCAAGAAGCGTATGTTCAGCTGTAAGAAGATGAAGAAGGTGTCTCTGAAGGGCTGGAGCCAGGTTGCAGATTAAGAAATGATGTAGAGAGGAGAGGAAATAGAGTCAGCAAAAATAAACCACCCGCTCCAGAAAGCAGGGATGGAAAGGAGATGGAAGCTGGCAAAAGAAAGAGAAATGACAGGAGATATCTTTGGGATGGGAAGAAAAAAAAAAGGTGTAGACTCAAGCACTGGAGCTTAAAGCAGAGAGAGCAATAAATGCATCAAAGGTATAACAACAGCCAGCACGCAGGGACAAGGTCAAGCTGGAGACAGCCACAGAACTGAAAAGCAAAAGCAAGCAAGAGATTCATGACCAGGAGTCAGAACCAAAGGAAAGTGAAGCGGCTGGACCAAGCATGAATATTAATTTCAACGAATTATCAATGTCCAAACCATAAATCACAATGAAGTCAGGGGATAAAAACACAGTATGCAGAGAACCTAGGGGAAAGCACATTTCAGAGAGGCAAGATAGTCACTGATACTAACAAAGACTTAGTGATCTAGACAGGATTTGACCCTGGAGACTGCTATGTGAAGGCTCACAGTGCAGAACAGTGCTATGGCATTTGCACAGGGATGCTATATTATGCATATAATGAATGCATTACATTATGCACATCGCACTTATGCCTATGTGAAAGTTGCACAGGAGATGTCATTACTTTTGCCAGAAGTGCCTGGACCCAAATCCAAACGCTGAAGTGTGGGTGTTCTCCAAATCCCCACAAAACACAGCTGAGATCCCAACAAGATCCTCCCACAGGAGAGGCAGCAGCATGAGGCAGCTCCTCCACCTTCCCAAGGCATAAGCAGAGAGATAACTCCTTTTACTAGGAACTGGAGGGGCAGAAACATGGGGACTATGTGGCACTAAGAAAACATCACCACTTGCTTCCCAAGGTGAACCGAGTGGTGATACTGTCTTATTCTCTCCTCTCCAGAGACCTGTGCTTCCCAGGTCATATCCGAATGCAAGAGACATGATGAGCACCCTGAAAAACAAATGGGTCCAGATCAGACCTGCATCTGGCAACTCTACGCCTGACCCCGCGCAGTCTGTGGCCAAAGCCAGCTTGTGACGTGAGCTGATCAAGTGACTCATCACGTTACTTCAGCTTCAGGGACAAAAGAGTGACACAGGGAATATTTAAATCTTTCCCTTGTGAATGAAGAGCGCTGCTCCCTAAACACAGTGCTTTCAGCTAACCAGGCACCACAGCCCTCCTTCCCTCTTAATGAGATTTATGAGTTTGGCAAGCCAGGGACTGCTTTAATAAATGATTAGCTGAGCTTTAGCAAATTCTCATCTAACTTTCCCCACCCCTACCCTCATGTGAATGTCTATTTCAAGAAAAGCAAAGCAGTTGGGAAAACACAGAAATTCTTTTTCTACCCAAAAGCATTTGGGAAATGTGCAGTGAATTATCTGGCATCTTCTATATTCTATCCCAAGCTCTTCATTAATGTTTGAAGGATTATTTGCAGATTCTTTCCGAAAACAGTATTTAGGAGCAACACAGTGCCTCAGATCGAGAGACTGGAGCAGTGGAAACTCGTCTATTTAAGTTAAATTACATATAATTATGGCTGAACTGGGAAATTATACACCTGTTACTTCCTCTGCCAAAAAACTGTGTCAGAATCGATTCATGTCGTACGTCACCGCTGCAACAGCATCCATCAAAAGGGCCAACAGGATATTCAGCTGCCTTAAGACAAGATGGTGGATTTACACCTATCAGTTATGCCCACTGTGAATTACAGAGGTCTGCTTAGGACTTCAAGAAGAAACTGCTGACTTCAAAAGTCTTCAAGAGAATAGCCAAGCCAAGAAAAGCCTCAGATGTATAACAGGCTAGAACCTTGGTCTGTTTATACAGCAGAGCAAAAGAGTGAAAGATGTGAAAAAAGATGACAAGCTTAGTGACAGCACCATGGTACGTTTTTGTCTAGTTTAATACAAGTAGGACTAAAAAGAAACTGAATTGTGCTGTGCTGTTTTGACTAACGCAGACAGAGCAAGATTAGCCCTTATTTCAAAAGTATCATGGAGATTTACTTCCTGCACTCCAGAGAAGCAACCTGTTCGTTGTGAATTTCATGATGTTTGAACTTTCACAAGAAAAATCTGACTCCAATCAGGAGAGTAGTCTCATGACTACGTGACAATTTCGCTTTCCTTCTTTCTGTTCTCCTAAATCCCCAGAGAAAGGTCTGCAAATATTAATCGAGTGCATCTTAAAACCAACAGATACACTTCCTCTCAAAGAATAAAAGGAATCCATGGGTTTGTGTGTCTGTGCCTGTGTATACACTCCCAGAGAAAGAGCTTAAAAATAATCACGCTTCAGAAACATAATTGCACAGGGTTTGTCTGTTTCTCATTGGCAATGTATATTTGTCTCCTTTCTGATTCTTTTCCTGAACTGTCCTCAGATTATGCATTCAAACTATGCAATCAACATTACACACAAGCTATCACTAATACATTTTAGTGGTGATTAAAAAGAATTCCAGGAAGTGATTATAGAGGGCACATTTGAACCTCTGAGCCTGATCTTCATAAGCACCTTCCACGAGCAAAAGAGAACGCAACTGAAAGGTGATGACTTAGGCTCTTGCTTTTCAGTTGCCCTCCGGAGGAGCCTTCCTGAGGCTAGATGAATCCCGGGAAGATTTAGCACACATTTAGCCTTAAGTTAGCCTTTTTGAATAGAATGAAGAATCATGGATGGTTTGAGTTGGAAGGAACCTTAAAGATGATCTAGTTAGAATAGAGTTGATCAGAAGCCCTAATCCCTGTCAATAATGGCAAGGCCAAACACTAGTTCAGTGTAATATGTCTCAGAATGCATCCTTCTAGCATGTAAGATCTGAGTCCAAAAGAAGGCAGCACACATTGTTCTTCAGGTCAATATGGGTCTCCCTATCTGTGCATACATCCTATCTCTTTCTTTGCAACTATCTGGCTCATTCTACCGCTTGCCTGAGGCACTAAAGCTGATGCTGTGAAACCACAAAAATTACATCTCCCAATTTTATGCACCTTTCTCCACAGGAGTGGCAGTTGTGCACAAAGAATGGAAGCCCCTGTGCCCTCAGCCAGGCACCTCAGGAAGATTACTCCTAGACTATGCCTAAGGGCTTTGGCAGAAAAGCATACATTCATTGGTAAGAGGTAGTGCTCCTGGGGTCCTTTATATCACTTCCCCAAATTAAAACTGGTGAGCTAGAAGATGCTGTATGTTGGGTTTTTTTGCACCTTGGCTACTATGCATCAATTAAAACTGTCCTTTCCCCCACTGCTGAATACAGGCATACCATCCACACTTCCAAACGTGGATCAAGCCTGGATCAGGAAGATCTGGACTTTGAAAAGTCAGAGATGATAAACAGATGTGTAAACAGATGACTGAAGTGCCAGTGGGATCACTGAGATCCTGTTGTACAGATTCTTGCCCACTCATGCTGGACTAAATCCGATCTATGCAATTTATCAACAAAAGCCATCACCATCAGATTATATTGAGGGGCTTATGGGAAATGAATTGGATGCCTTGGTTTGGTTCCAATCAGACTTGTGTTCTTAGCTCCTTGGCATCTAATTGTCAACTTTTTTAGCTAGCAAGAAACCAGTGCCTAACTAGGTCAGCAGCAGCTGAGGTGAAAGCATGGCACTGCTTTTACAGCTCCATAGCAAAACTGAGAATTTCAGCTCCCTGCCTGCTTAACCTGGAAAGGGGCAAAACCAAAGCACCCAGAGAAAAGCATGACCTTGCACACCCAGCACAGAACCTCAACACAGAACACCCCATGCAGGACACAGCCCAGACTCTTCGAACTGACTGCAGCAGACTCTTGCTCTCCCCATTCTGTGTGATGCTGTCCTCCATGCTCCTGACTTCTCAAAGGAAGTACATAGCCCTGAAATGTCAGGAACTGCATAAGGGCTTCCCCAAGAGCTCAGGACATTCCATGGGCTTTTCTAGGTACTGGGGTCTCTACACCAGCTTCCCTGTGCTCATTACACTCTTTAACCACTGCCCCTTTCACACATTCACAAAAGTCACCCTGGATGCTTTCAGGTGAATTATCTCAGCTTTGGCCACCAGATCAAATCCACCTTGTCTTACTGTCTGAAAGCTGTTAGAATTGTCAGGTGGCTCCTAGTTTAAAGACTTGGTTCAGCATCCCCGAAATCACTCCCAGAACTATCACTCAGCAATTGGTCACCACCAACTTCTGAGAAAGAAATGGGAAGAGTCTCTCCAAACCTTGCAGCACCAACCCATACCCCTGTCCTTGGGATGGCATTGGGACTTCCACTGCTGGCAGTCCTCCTCAAGGTGATCTCAAAGGAATAAAAAGTAAGAAAAGTATGAGATATCTTCCCAGTTACATGCTGTGTGCAGCCAGCCAAGGAAGTCAAATGAACACTTTAACTCAAGGCAGGTAAAACAGTCCATTATCCCGTCTTCCCAAGAAGTTTGTTCTGCTGGCCAGGAAACAGCAAAGCACAACTGTGCTCCAGCATGCCCCCTCTGCCTGCTCTCCTAAACTGTGGCTGGGAAAGCAAACTTAAATCTACCCACCTTTGCAGTATACCACTGCACTGATGAAAAATTGCTTAACAGGGAGAGAAGATCACATTTTAATGTGGACAGTCTTCTGAGGGTCGTCTTCCCAAGCTTAGCCTGAGTCGTGAAGCATAAAATAAATGTGTTCTGCTTGTTCTGTAGGTAAAACTGGAGTTCAGACTCCACTTCTCTCTAGTTTTAAATGAATTAGGAATTATAGCATTCATAAGAATAATGGTAAATACGAGGGGAGGATTCATTCCAGAATCAAGATGCAGTTGGTGACTTACAAGAACCAGCTTTATCAGGAGCTTAAGGATACTTGGCAAATTGTACCTTCTTTTTCCAGAACAAGGACATAGTCCCACACATACCCAAACCCCTGTCACTCCACAGGAAGGAGTAAATGGTGACCATCCCTTTGCTGTTGTTACTAGAACACCAGCTTTAGGCACGTGGGAGAGCAGGGCAGGAGGATGAGAAGCCAAACCAAAACCACTGTACCTCACAGAGAATTTTTTTAAATTCCAGTAAGAAGTCACAATGCACAAAACCAAACAAAAGATAAATGCAAGAGCCAAAAATTAAAGACAAACAAAGGACTGAGGGGAATTAATGCTGGGAGGAAAGGAACTGTGAGTGCTGATTAGAAATTTCTCAGCCCACCTCGAGGAGGGAGGAGGGGTGAGAAGGGGGAGAAAGCCTCTCTTGCTGCCTTTTGTCTCCCTGCTTCCTCCCCATTTTCTACTCTGTCTCTTACCCTGGCCCCTCCACTTCCCAACCCCCACTTCTCTTTCCCAGAGTGGAGTGTACCACTCGGGCTGGATAAGGGCTCCTTACCTTGCTGCAGACCTTTCATTCCTTCGCACAGCCACTGGGGAAAGGAAAACCTTGAATCCATGTTTGCTAGCCTCTCTCCCTTTTCTGTGCACACACACAGACACTCACACCTTCACTCGTTTGCTTTCTCTCAGCCATGGAAGAGGACAACAGCGCGGGCTCCATCGCTGGGCGGCAGCGGCGAGAGGCTGGAGGGCAGCGAGCGGACGCTGGCTGCCTCCATCTCTCGGCACACGGCTGCCCTGTTGCCTCCCGGAAGCCTTTGCCTGCCAGCGGCTGACAGCACCAGCAGCAGGCAGATCTGTCTCCAAGCCCAGGACGAGAGGAAACTGGAAGGTCTTCCTACTGCAGCGGTACCTCTCTCTCTGCATGCTCCAAACAGCAGCAGCTGCCAGTAATCGTGAACTACTTTTAATGGAGGGAGAAAGGTGTCAACAGCCTGGCCTTTCAGCTTGATGGAAAAGTCCTGATCTAGCCAGACACGTCCAGATAATGAAGCTCTTTAAAAAGAGGGAAGAATGTAATGTCATGTTTATCTTCACCCTGTACTCCTCCTACCAGTCCCTAGATGCTATTTATCAGCATACTAGTATGGCTAGTAGGAAAAGAGCGGTCTCCAGACCAACTCAGTGAAGTAGGATACGTTTGGAAGCAGCCAAGTGGCAGGGAGGGAGGCAGGGAGAGAGGCAAGGAAGGAGAATGAGCTGGAAGCTGCCAAAGCCCCAGATGAGGCCGTGAAACCCTGGAAGGGAGCAGTAGGCAGGCACTGGTGTTGAAGATGACTCAGAGTGAAAAAGCAAGGAAAGTGGTGGGTGGGTGGTGGGAGAGAGGTGTTATGACTAAAAGCCGAATTTACTGCTTGTGAATCCTAAATCTGAATAGGAAGAGGGAAAAGGCTGAGGTCTTTCCCCCCCCCCC